AAACCTAGCAAGTTTAATAGGCCTGTTAGAGTCCTCGAGACCAGCCATTTGGCGAGCTCCACTACACTTTCGTCACTTGCAGTCAGATCTGATAAGAGGCCTATAAATGAACCAGGAGTCTTACGACGCTTTGATTGCACTGTCACCGAGTGCCAAAGTAGAACGTGCTTAGTGGTTGAAACACACCCTCAATGCAAACGGCAGTCCCGTGCATACGGTTACGTGAGACTTACCTTTGAGACAGGTTTTTCAGTAAAGCCAAAAAAAGGGACGCCTTTAGCTCTAGATAATTGATGTGTTAGAGAGACTCTTTTGTGACCATCCTTTTGCACCCCAACCTTTCTTGGGTGCGTCAGTTGTGATCATATCCGGCGGAGGAAGGTGCAATGATATCACATAAAATGATGATGAAAATTTTATGCTGAAGTTTAGAAAAATGTTTTTGAATGAGGAAAAATGGCTTCAAGAAAGGTCTTCGGCACTTCCTCCCACGCAAATTTTTTCATGTTTATATTAGTAATAAGTAATCATACGGTTTTTCTCGTTCAATTTGAAATTAATTTGCACTTGTGAGTTTTTCAAAAAGTTGAAATTGCACTCGCCGAAGCGGCTCGTGCAATTTCAGCTTTTTGAAAAACTCACAAGTGCAAATTAATTCCAAATTGCACTCGAAACCGTATGATTACCTACATGCATGTATACTAACAATATTTGGGCTGTATTTAACAAGTGCAGAAATTTATGCATACATTATAACTACTAGTTACTCAAAGCCTTTTTTTTGCTTTTTAGTTGCACATTTATCTTCAAATAGGCTAGCACTACTAATTGATACCCTAAGAAGTTATCATAAGGTGAACTTCAAATTGGGATGGAGTTTTCTTGCTGCCATAAACATGAATGCATTATTATTATTATTATTATTATTATTATTATTATTATTATTATGATGACAATAAACAGTTAACCAAAGGTGCAAACCGGTGATAAACAGTTTCTTATAGTACTACCAAGAAAAAATTGATATCAGCACTAAGGTGTAAGTTATAAAATTAATTTTAGTCACCTCTGTTTCCTGTTTCCCACATTCATTTGATAATGAGAATTATACTAGGGCCGCGAAGCGGCCTGAAGTTATAATTCAAATTATATGAACAGATGAAGTGAGAAATATATGAGACAACAAATGGTAGG